AGAGAGAGAGAGAGAGAGAGAGAGAGAGAGAGAGAGAGAGAGAGAGAGAGAGAGATATTACGATTCACTGCAAGATAATTCAGAAATTACATTCATTACTGAGAGGTGTGTGTGTGTGTGAGAGAGAGAGAGAGAGAGAGAGAGAGAGAGAGAGAGAGAGAGAGAGAGAGAGAGAGATTAACCATGCTATATGCTCTGCTGATGGGCTGGACTGTGTATCTAAAAGATGAGAGGAATGTGGCTGAGAGAGAAAAAGAGAAAGGATGTGGGGATGTCAGCAAATAGACCCCAGGGAGAGAGGGAGGGGGGGGGTGGCATGGCAGGGCTGAGAGGAGAGAGGACTATACTTAGACAGCAGTAAAGATAGCCAACTACAGCCAGAGCTGTACTTTAGTGTCAGCATGGACAGGGAGATTCTGGATTTCACATCAGCCTCAATGGATTGCTGCCAGTTTTAACATTTGGTCCAACAACAATCTCTTGGATGCAACTGGCCCAATAATGGAACTCTGCTGGTTTGAATGGATATAAGATCAACGGACTAAATCCAGCACTTATTTTGGGGAAATGGATTTATTTTTTACATTGGACTGTTTTACATCAAAAACTCTGAAGAGGAACAATTAAAATAAACAAATTGATGTCCACTGATGTCATCATGGAACCAATATCGTCTCTGTTTCTGTCTCATTTGGTCAATGCATGTGTGAAAGCCAACTAACTTCACATCTGCAACTCTGAGCCATGCTAGAAGAGAAGGCAAGAAGAGGGTTTCTTTCCTGTTTTAAACACAGAAATGTGGAAGGACCAAGTCAAATACAGAGAAAGAAATGAGGACTGCCTTGTGTGGACATTGGACTGGACAGAATGTGAAAAGTGAAGTTCAGTCCAACTAAAGAGTTCCATTTTCTCATTTTTACTTTGAATTTAGCCTAAAGATGATTTGTTGAGTTGTCCAACAGAAGATGTACAATGAAGCTCAAGCAAAGTCCAACTAAAGGATACCAATCAGATGATCCGATTGCTGTTTGGCATCTATGGTTGAGAGGGTGATGATTGACAGATCAGTGTTGAAAGTGTTTATTTAATGGATGAATGACAGATCAGTGTTGAAAGTGTTTATTTAATGGATGATTGACAGATCAGTGTTGGAAGTGTTTAGTTAATGGATGATTGACAGATATAATAATAATGGATGACTGACAGATCATTGTTGGGATGTTTAGTTAATGGATGATTGACAGATCAGTGTTGAAAGTGTTTAGTTAATGGATGATTAACAGATCAGTGTTGAGGGTGTTTAGTTAATGGATGATTGACAGATATAATAATAATGGATGACTGACAGATCATTGTTGGGATGTTTAGTTAATGGATGATTGA